TTTTTTTTTTTTTTTTTTTTTCAAGCCTTCGAGTTCCCATCAATTTCCTTCCTTTAAATAATGCAACTTTCTCAAATGCAGAACAATGCTTTTATTTCTGCTAGCAACGTTACTACCAATGAAAAAATTACCCTTTGTTAAACTACTTTCTGCAAACTGTGAAAAGTTCCTGCGGTTCACTGTACAAATTCTAGTCCACTTGTACTTTACGATTTTTTAATCGGGTGTTTTGCATAGAACTAAAAACTGCGACCATGTACATTACTGTACACCTAGTTATTTTAAGTATACTGCATCTATTAATGTAAAAGGTAACTTCTCAAATTCTCAGTCTCCCGACTTCGTTCTCAGGACTTCTCTCCTCTGAAAGTAAAGTCGTGAAATTTGAGGACTTAAAAGTTATTTCTTTACGTCAATATATCCATTGTACTCTTCGTATTCCAAAGAATCGTTCACCCACTTTATCAGAATGTAATTTGCTTGCTAAATGTGGCAAATCTGCAACTATGAAGAGCTCACTTGTCAAGTTTTTTCCTTCCCCAGTTCTATTCGGTTGCTGATTGACTGCAACAGAATAAGGTTCAGAAGGCTTGTCCAAGCCTCGCGTTACGCTACTCAAACCTATATACTTCTCTAGCGACTTTCATTTTTCTTGTCATCTATCTCCAGCTCCTGACGACCATTTAATAAATTGTCGGGGGTCTTATTTTGCTTACGGAACTTTTTGTTCAGTTTTTGAACATTTAATCGCCAAATATTCAATAAATAGATTACTGTAAATGCAACTACTTCTGAAATGAGTAAGCCTTCTTTTGGACCACGGACAATAATCATAAGAAAAGTTGAGTAGTTAGTGAGTTGTTTTTGTTTATGATTGGTTGTATTTTGGACTCCTGCCTTCGGACTTTAAAGCTTTTACCTAATATTCTGTAGCGAGATGGATATTTATTAAAAAGTGACAAGAATAAATTTTTTTTCATAAAAGGACTCATCAGAATTGTTGTGCATACAAAAAAAGTTTCAGAACTTATACAAAGAAAAACAGTTTCCAAAAAGTCGTGAGATGACAGCTCTCCACCTTAAAAAATTGACAGGATTTGGAACAGGAAGTCCCGAAACTTTTTCAGAAGAAAAAGCTCATTTAAAATGGGAATCATCGGGAATGGCAAGTGATTTCGGGCACATCCTAGTCGCCCTTAAATTGAGCAAGCAGGGCGGGATGCGTGAGGGACTAACCCATCAAACTGCTAGCTAACAGTGTCGAAATAAAAATTTATATTTTTTAGCACGATAACTTCAGAGGCGAACAGTGTTGATGAATAACTACGTGTAACGACTCTCAAGAAGAAAAAATGTTAAAAATTTTTAAGAAACGTTAATTTAAAGATGTGTTGGACTCAAGAAACCATAGCCGACTCGGTTTCACAAGCTCAAAATCAAATCTTCTTGGGTGGGCAGTTTTTAGGAAAACTGCTAAAGTTTATGATCGATCGCACGATCGCAACGCTAAGATGGAACAAAGAAAACATAGAACGAGTAACTAAAAGATACGACGTTCGGCTCTACAAAATTTGGGGATCATAACCATTCCGACCTGGGAGGCTGATATTTTTCCCTCCGTGGATAGGAGAGGTCGATGCTCAGACGACAGTTGGGATGGCTTATTGCCAACTGAAGAATTCGTGTCACGCCCACCCACCTCGCGATTGGATAAATAAATGAACGCTATTGCCCACCCAAATCGACGTATGTAATTGTGGCGCCAATTTCTGTTTGAAACTTCTAACACCGGGAAAATTGGGTTTTGAACTACGCCGAAGCATCTTTTGACCGTTGACAGGCTGGTTTCTTCATCATTGTTCATTAAGTTGTTTTGTGTTCTCGCGTTATATACGCAGATTTTGGATCTGAGAACTTGTTGGTTGGTTTTTCACTTTCATATCTAATTCCAGTTTACGGAATGATTTGGTAATTCTAACAAATGAAAGCTGTAGTTGCCACGGTTGCAGAATCATAAATATGTCTGATATGTTGGTAGAAATTTTCTTTTCGGAAACAGCCTTTTTAGTGACGGCAATATTGTTGGTAATATTGTTGGTTTTACTGGGCAACCCTAAAAGGAATTTAGCCTTGTTGTAGCTGTTCATGTTAGGTATATGCTTAGTCTAAACGGTTAGAGCAGTTCGAATTATTGCATTTCAAATTAGTTTTTGAAGCTGCTTTTCTTTTATTGACTATATTGTATGTGTTTTTGATTTGAGGTGATATTCGGCTATTGTTTGTAAAATAAACAGATATCGTCTTTTACAGAAAGAAAGGTATAGGACGGTTTTTCACAACTCGAAAATGGTACTGGAAGGAGATGTGGAGAAGCCTCTTCCCCGATCTGCGGAACGATCGGTATCAATTATTGAATCTTAAAAATACTAGTCATTGACACGAAAGATTTTGTTTTGATTGTAGTCGACGGTCGTTTTCATTTCCTTTTTCTATATGTTGGGACGGGTTCCTAAGATAGGTTAATTATATTGCCCTGCAATGGGTTAAAAACGTTTCAAATTGCCGCAACTGATGGCTTGTTTTAATCAGTACTTTAATTTGAGCTCAATAATAGCGAAAATTCGCGTCTCATTTCCCATAAACTTTAATGTTCAGTCCTTTTTGGGCGCTGGAATTCAAGGTACTGAAAATAAAGTTGTTCAGCTATACATTTTTCTTCACATTGGTACCAGTAGTTTCAGAACGGTAGGATATTTCAGTTCTTTTTCGAATCTGTTTTTGGGAACTGTAGCTTAGTTCATTTCTTGTGAAAAGAGGGTTCCTAAAAATATTTGCGACGCTATTTTGATTAACTGGTGCAAACTCGTCTTACCAAGAAATATGTTTTTTAATCTTGAAAAGAAAAGCAATTGCGAAACAAAGACGAGTAATGGAAGTTACAGTGAAAGTTCATATACTTGTTACAAGCATTGTGTGGAGTCATGTTAAACCTGGTCTAAGGTTTTGTGGCGTTTCTTCTGTAAACGTTTGAGAGAGTTGGTTTATAATGGGGTAGCAGTGGTTCTGAATTAATCATTTCAAGTACCAATTAACTTGAATGAAATTTACAAAATCTTCAAAGTGTACAGAAGTTGTGTGGTATTATTATATCAAAACAATGTGAAAAAAAGTAACTTTACCAGCTTTACTTGTAATGCAAGTACTCGTTATCGACTTCCATCTCTTGAAGAAAATCAGATGTTTTAGTTTCGCGGAAAATTCGGTTCAGCTACTTACGAGGCTTTGAGCCGTGTAAACTTATTTCATTTACAGCAGTGTGGCAGTTTTTGTACCTTCTCGATTAGTAAATCACTTTGGCTCATTAGACCAGTTCTTTGAAAAAGATGTTTCTTAAAAAAATTCTCTGAAAGAAATTAGGATGTAGAGACTCCACCCCGTTGTCGTGACTTTGTTTCGTAATTTTAGTGTGAATTTTGATCTACATTTGAAGAAGTAATTTTCCTGTGGTCCATAATTATGTTTTAAAAATTGGCTGGCGTTACAGAATTCTAGAGTATAAAATGCATGCTTAAAAGCTTAATGCGTTTTCACTTCGGAGATTATAAGTTTCCTTATGGGAATATTTTGGGAGATGAATTTCAATAGGGCAGAAACTGAGCCTCATCAGCCTCATTATATAAAATTATGGGATGTCCGAGGTATGGTAGGCTAGTTTTAGACGACAAGTTGTTGAAGCTCTGTTTTTGTTCCCTTAAATTTAAAGAGTTTTACGTGATGCATCAGTCTTTCTGTATTGTAAGGACCTCAGGATAATATGGAGATTTAAATACAGTAAGGGCTGTGCCAGTTTGCATCACTGAAGTCAAATTTGTTATTTTTAGAGCCGTGGCAATTCTTTCTTTGAGATATGCAACTCTCCTTCTGGAGAACTCGAACTAGTTGATAAGGTTTGGCTATTTTTGAGATCCACTTATTCACCCATGAACTTACTAATCTGCTACTGTACAAGAAAAACTTTTTGAAGAGTTTAAGCAGCACTGCACTGATTTGTTTTACATCCGTTTCGATGAGTCTCAAAAAAGTTATATTTGTTTGGCTGCCAAAAGTTAAAAGGTTTCTCAGCTTTTAATAGCCTTAGCAAATTTCTAGCTTGAACAAGTGGGAGAGAGGTTGGCTTTAAGTGAGGAGGACGTGGAAGCTGCTGGACTTCTAAAGGTAGAGTAGCTATTTTTTTTAAAAAAGATATTTTTTATTTCATTTTCAAGATTTTTAGATCTGCTTTCAAAAAGTCCGGTCACTACAATGTTTCTGCTCTGTAATTTCTAACCAGGTTTTTTAATACTGAAGGACTCACGAAGTCTTAAAGAGTACATTATACTTCGAGACAAGCTGCGGTCCGAAGTCCCTGATCCTCTTCAGTTTGATAGCAAGACTGATCTTCATCTCGGAAGTGCTGCAATTGCCGGCGCTAAAGTCCTTGTTGACGAACAGCGAACCACACGGTCTATGAGTAAGAAGTAAGGGCTCTGTTTTAAGACTGGTTTTTATGAGATCTTTTCAACTGGGCGGTACAGGTTTGTATAATTTCTCAGAACTGTTAGAACTTTGACCATAAAAAAGTAATTTTGTTCCGGCTGGCGGTGGAATAAAACTACCTGGTAGGCGCCCTGTGATTCATTTGTGTGTTCCTCGGGAGGTCATATATCTTTCCGTCTATTGGATTTTTGTCAATTTTTTCATGACTTATTTTTAAATATATTATAAACTTTTTTATTCAAGGCTTGTAGAGCAGTGCGGCAGTAATGAAGAAAATTTTCTATATAATGGTATAAAGAATCGGGACAGGGATCTGAAGTGCGCAGAGCAAATAGCAAAGTAAAATTTATTTCATTTTTGGATGGTTATTAGACTTGCTGTACGGTAATTTTAAGGGTGTTTTACGAATAAGTAGTTCTAGATTTTAAAAGAATGTTTCTATGCGTTTCAGGCTGAGAAAATCTGCTGTATTAGAAAGTCTTGTTGATTTCCAGAAACAAATTGATTTCAAAGGGAAAGTTCTGAAACATGTTGCTAACAGAGCCTATGGTAAGCCTCCACTTTACGATATTAAAAAGTAGCCTTTTTATGTTTAAATTTTTGTCTCGCCTTACTGTCATAAGTTGTCCACGATTGCAGCAAGCGGGTCAAATTTTTGATTATTTTTGTAGAGAAAGTACTTGGTAGATCAAAGTCGGATTCCCGAGCTAATCGGCTAGGACGTCCAAAACCTCTGAGAGTTTTTCATAGATTCGTCATGAAGACACCACGTTTTATAAGAAGTACAAAGGAAATCAATCCGCTGGATGACGAGCAGGTTACAGGAATAAATTTGTTTTTAAAATTCCAACACAAAATTTACTTTCCAGTCTTTTGACCTTAAAGGTTTTATTTAAAGATCCTTGATTCCTACGCTATACAAGTTGCGTCGGAAGCAACGAGATATTCCAGGCGAAAAAGTTTTGGCACAGTTCCGTTTAATAGAGCACTTCTGGATGAAGAGGATTAAATTTAACCATTACTCTTAAGATGTTTGTGCATTCTTGTATATTATTAATATTGCTGATCTCTTTCTTAGTCTGTACAGTTGTATTTTTATATTCAGATTTATTTAAATTCTGTGGATGGATTGCAAAAGAAACCAGTGTCTTTTGTGAAATCAGTTCGAAATCAGCAGCTGACTGAAAACTTCAGCTATTTGCGCATTTTACCTGGAAGTTAAGAAGAAGAGGAATTATCAGAAAAAATTATTTAAAAAACTTACAGACATTGCAGTTGTTAAGCTAGATTTAAATAATACCCAAGACCCTGCTTATATTCTGGTATGTGAATAACAATAATTATTCTTTCTCGTTTTACCGACCATCGTAGTCACCTCACAGATTGCAATTTCTGGAACAGGCATTATTTTGGTTTGGGGGTGACGATTCGGTATAAACGGTCGAGGAGGAGCAATAAAAGTTGAAGCCGGGAGTTGGGGGCATTTTTTGCTATTAACAGTGACCGTAGTAGAGACGTTAAAATAAGCAGTTGGGAGGAAAGCCAAAGTCGTCAACTTATTTGGTGTTTGAGTGAAGGGAAGATATCATTGGTAAGAGTTGTATTCGGTTCTCTTGGTAGGATGAAGTTTTTGAAGGGGATTGTATTTCAGAAGAACAGTTGATTTTGCCTGTTGGATTTTGTATTTTGGTATTATTACAGCACCTAGTTTTGCAGCTAAGAGCTATGTTAGCAGTAGCAGTATTCAGGTCTACTTTCTTCCTGAGGTGGCATGCATCTCGTTGATAGCCCTTTAACCCATGAAGTTCTTGAACAATCGCTTGAAAAGCATAAGTAAAAATTATTAAACACTGAGATTTCTGGAAAAATCCATCAAATTACACTAAGTATTGTATAGTTCACAAGGTCTCTGATTTATTATTTTTTGCCCTTTAAATTTTTTGCATGATATATGGTTTTAGTAAAATGTTCGGGCATATATTGATTAAGGGTTTCATTTATCAGGTATATCTCTATGTTTCTACCATTGTTACAATTTTTTTATTCTCTTAGGTTGAATGTTGAAATGAAATTGTTTATGTGGCAACAGTTGTCCAACAGTATTCTGCATGGAAACATCTG